GAAGAAGAAGAAGAAGAAGAGGAAGAAGAAGAAGAAGAAGAAGAAGAAGAAGAAGAAGAAAAAGAAGAAGAAGAAATAATATGTGTATCTCTTTTCAATCCCAACTTTGAACAATACCCACAAAAAAGGTCCTAACAGGACGTTTCCAAAGCTGCTGGTCCTATACGACGGCAAAAAGTGTTAATGGCTCATTTAGTTTTTATAAGAATTTTACGGCACTTTCAAAAAAAAATCGTAAATGTGCCGAAGATAAAAAGGTATTACTAGAGAGTAACATATAATAAAGATGAGGTATAAAGACGATAGATGTTTGATAGGAAAGAAGGAGCAAACCAAACCGGAGTGCCCACACTTGTTTGTTCACACAGACGCTTGCCAGCATTTTATTTTCCTCTTTATATCACCAAAGTGAATTCCCCCCTTTTTTTTAAAACTTATTCGGAAACAGTAGCTAAATATTATGTTACAATAGCTCAAAATTGTGTAACAAAAACTCATGATTGTGTAACAATAACCCAAAACTGTGCTATCTACTGTCGTCAATACTATGATTATACAAAAAAAAAAGGTAGACTCAATAGTGAAATGCTCCGAGAACGAGAAGAACATTATTTCCAGTAACTATCTCTGGTTGTTCAATCGGTAAAACTATAGCCTACAAGTCAACACGTCTTCCACAAATAAGTCTGCCTTGTCGTAAAGGCTTAGCGTCCTTAGCAACCACAGAGGAGACAGTGCTGAAACAAGCGCTCGGAGACCTTGGCTTATCTTGTGCTTGTGTTGCAGTAGTGGTTTCACCTTGACTTAGAAAAAGTAAAATAGGATGTTAGTCGAACAAAATAGAAAATTGTATCTAGAAACCTTAAACAATTGCAGAATCGCGTGCACAAAGAGAGATATTCAAGATTGTTTATTAACATTTTAAAACTGTGGTCAAGATTGACCAAAGTGTTAGCCCTTTGTCGAGGAGAAATTTGTTTGTCTTAGAGAGGTAGATGCCTTAGGCAGTGTTATTATGATATTGGAAAAGCAGAAGGGGAAGGGTGGGAGGGAAGGAGGAGAGAATTGGTCGTTTATGCAGATCGTCTTGGACAGGCGGCCGTCAAAGCAGATTCGAATGTTTTAAAAATTTTAACAAACAGAACATAAAATATGATCAGAGATATCCCTTGCATATGGTGACGACAGGGAGATAGTGGTCCAAATCCAATGTTACACTATAAAATAAGATAATACGTATTTAGACAACATTTAATTTTAACCTTCGATTCACACCATCACTTCCATTAAAATTGCATTCATATTCAATTCATCATAATTCTTGAAGTGGGACCTATAAGATATTCATGTAAGTGGTGCAAACATTTTGCCGTTAAAAGAAAATAAATGTAACGTGACTGTTCTCAGGGTCTATTGAATAACACAATTGGGAAATCACAGGCCACACAAAAGAAATCTGGTTATCTTTTCCTTCCCTTTGGATCTATCAAACGCTGTTTGACAATAATAATTGAAGTCGTCCCGTATTTAAATATTTACATAGTATAAGATTTAGTAAGAGTTTTACGGCACTTGCAAAACAAATAAAGTATATACGTGCCGAAGGCTAGAGGTGTTACTAGGGAGAAATGAACAAAGGAAAGAGGGAGAAGAGATAACGCCGATAGGTGTTCGATAGGAGAGAAGAAATAAACCACACCACAGTACCACCGTCCACCCACTTACATAATACACGTGCATATTGTGTGTTGTATATAGAATACAACTCGCAGTATGAAGCAAAAAACAACTCGTTTGATATGACGTTGTTATCGACAGGAGCCGTCTCACACAAACCAAATTTAACCCCACCTTAATACGTATATATATATATATATATAC